CGTCAGTTACTGCTACAAACCCGAGAAAATCTTCACATATATTAAGATTCAAGTCCAAATATCGTACGCAAAGGGAAAACTGTTCCACACTTGAACTATCAGTCGACTCATCGGCTAAAATAGAGAATCCTTTGGCATTATTTACGTTACTTACGATTTTTTTCTCTTATTAATTCATGATTTCATTTCATTCTGTATAGTTATACCCGTTACTCGTAGAGTAAAAGGGTATCAAATAAAAACACCTCTTAACGAGGTAAAAAACTAGTGACGATCGCACCTTCAACAAACAAAAGTTCTGATATCAACATTTGTGACGAAAAATTATTATACTCGTCATTAAATAGACTTTCTAATATTTTCTCATTCGGCCCGCCCTAGCAAACTATTCCAGTCTTTTTCCCTTCACAGGCATTTTCTATTGCAGCGTGCCGAATGAGAAAATATTAGAAAGTCTATTTAATGACGACTGTAATAATTTTTCGTCACAAATGTTGATATCAGAACTTTTGTATGTTGAAGGTGCGATCGTCACTAGTTTTTTACCTCGTTAAGAGGTGTTTTTATTTGATATCAGAAGTTTTTGTTTGTTTACATTTGCTCTCATAGGAGCTAATATATACATACATTTAAATTTAAATTGGTCAATCATAATTTGTAAGCCATTGTATTTAAACAAATTAAGTTAAAAAGGCGTTTAAGTATTTCAAAATACCTTTTAAACGATGTATAGCACATGTCGGTACCTTTAGTAGTGTAGAACTTACAAACTAACGAAATTTACCTATTTTTAGCTTTTTCCCGCTAAAGTAACGGCTTTTTCCAAAAGTCGTAGAACAAAAGATTCCTATATGGAACTCTTAAGTGCAAATTTACTGATTCCATGACCCTAAAATACAGTTCGGATACCCTCCCACAAAATTCAATACTCAGGGAGCGTTAATTGTTCGAGCTGGCAAAAGTGGCTATTTTCGAATAAAAATAACTTTTAAACGTGACTTTTTACAGAAATGTGTTATATACCAAAATTTAAGGAATCTCAAGGGCTATACAGTTTAAAGTTTTAAAGAAAATCGTTAGAGCCGTTTTTGAGAAAAACAAAAAAAAGCTTAAAAAAAGTTTTAAAAAATTGTCTTTTGTTCATATCTTTTTACCTATTACATTTACATAAATTGCATAGAAGGCGTTTATAGCATTTAAAAATACCTTTCAAACGAGATGCAGCACAAGCCTGTAGCTTTAGTAGTATAGAAGTTACGGCTTTCCGAATTTTAGCTACTTATAGCTGTTTTCCCGCTAAACTAGCGAGTTTTTCCAAAAGTGGTAAAACAAAAGTTTTTTATATCGATGTGATGAACGTCATGTCAAATATTCAAAACTTAAAAAACATGTTTTGGACAAACTGACAAACTGACAAACTGACAAACTGACAAACTGACAAACTAACAAACTGACAAACAGAATTAAATTTTCATTTTGGGAAGACGAAGAAAATCTTATTTTGGCTATAACTTTTGAACGGAGCGTCGGATTTTGACAAGTGACCCCTCATTCGACGGGTATTTTCAAAAGGAATACAATTAAAACATTGCGAGGGGGCATTTATCCCCACCGGCCCCAACAGCTCCAAATTAAGAAATTTTCACTTTTTCACTTTCACCGCTCTCTCTCTCAAGCCAATTGATTTTCTTAGAGTCTTGGTATGCAATCCTGTTAGTTTTTGCAATACCTTTTGATAGGTGTATCATTCATTATGATCGGACCATCACAGTAGATTTTCATTTCTTCGTGTATATATAGTAGTCGCCTTCGCACACTCTCCTGGTGTGCTTCGTCACTACATGGACTGCCGTCCATAGTGATGACGAGTGTAATAATTTTTCGTCACAAATGTTGATATCAGAACTTTTGTATGTTGAAGGTGCGATCGTCACTAGTTTTTTACCTCGTTAAGAGGTGTTTTTATTTGATATTAGAAGTTTTTGTTTGTTTACATTTGCTCTCATAGGAGCTAATATATACATACATTTAAATTTAAATTGGTCAATCATAATTTGTAAGCCATTGTATTTAAACAAATTAAGTTAAAAAGGCGTTTAAGTATTTCAAAATACCTTTTAAACGATGTATAGCACATGTCGGTACCTTTAGTAGTGTAGAACTTACAAACTAACGAAATTTACCTATTTTTAGCTTTTTCCCGCTAAAGTAGCGGCTTTTTCCAAAAGTCGTAGAACAAAAGATTCCTATATGGAACTCTTAAGTGCAAATTTACTGATTCCATGACCCTAAAATACAGTTCGGATACCCTCCCACAAAATTCAATACTCAGGGAGCGTTAATTGTTCGAGCTGGCAAAAGTGGCTATTTTCGAATAAAAATAACTTTTAAACGTGACTTTTTACAGAAATGTGTTATATACCAAAATTTAAGGAATCTCAAGGGCTATACAGTTTAAAGTTTTAAAGAAAATCGTTAGAGCCGTTTTTGAGAAAAACAAAAAAAAGCTTAAAAAAAAGTTTTAAAAAATTGTCTTTTGTTCATATCTTTTTACCTATTACATTTACACAAATTGCATATAGAAGGCGTTTATAGCATTTAAAAATACCTTTCAAACGAGATGCAGCACAAGCCTGTAGCTTTAGTAGTATAGAAGTTACGGCTCTCCGAATTTTAGCTACTTATAGCTGTTTTCCCGCTAAACTAGCGAGTTTTTCCAAAAGTGGTAAAACAAAAGTTTTTTATATCGATGTGATGAACGTCATGTCAAATTTTCAAAACTTAAAAAACATGTTTTGGACAAACTGACAAACTGACAAACTAACAAACTGACAAACAGAATTAAATTTTCATTTTGGGAAGACGAAGAAAATCTTATTTTGGCTATAACTTTTGAACGGAGCGTCGGATTTTGACAAATGACCCCTCATTCGACGGGTATTTTCAAAAGGAATACAATTAAAATATTGCGAGGGGGCATTTATCTCCACCGGCCCCAACAGCTCCAAATTAAGAAATTTTCACTTTTTCACTTTCACCGCTCTCTCTCCCAAGCCAATTGATTTTCTTAGAGTCTTGGTATGCAATCCTGTTAGTTTTTGCAATACCTTTTGATAGGTGTATCATTCATTATGATCGGACCATCACAGTAGATTTTCATTTCTTCGTGTATATATAGTAGTCGCCTTCGCACACTCTCCTGCTGCGCTTCGTCACTACATGGACTGTCGTCCATAGTGATCGCCTTCGCACACTCTCCTGGTGCGCTTCGTCACTACATGGACTGCCGTCCATAGTGATAGTAAATGATAATTAAATGGAATTAAAACAAACTTACTTTTTTTGAGGCAAGTCGCCCTAGGACTTGAACCCGGGACCTTTGGATTTGTAGACACACTAACTGATTGAGCCATACACGCATCACATTTTGTAATGCCCTAACAAGGTTTATGAATTTAAGTGTGACATAATTCATTAACAGTGATTTTTCACATATATATTGCCTCGGACAGATTAAACAAAGTTTAAAGCATCACCAAGCAAACAAAAAAAAAAAAATGTACAGAGACTGGGGATTGAACCGAGGACCTCAAGTGTTTGATTTATTTAGTGCTAAATTTCCCAAGACATTTACACTCTAGGCTATATTTTTGGATCATATGTGTTTCATTTGCAACTAGTTAAATTCCAGTTGCCTTTTAACTAGGCCGTAACATGTATTTGTTCTACCAGTTAAATATTTTTAAGGCTTTTTTTGTCAGAAGGGTACTAGTCTAAGGGCCGGTTTCTCGAGTGCCGGCTAACAATTCTCGAACAGATAAAGTCCCTGCTAAGGCATTTTGGCTTTCTCGAGCATAAATGTGAGAGCTAACTTTGACAGGGACTCGAAGTCCCTGTTAAGCGTTTTGCTCGATAGATTGACAGCTGATTTCCCAAAGCCAACTATGAAGAAGAAACAAAATCACAGCTGACTTTTCCTTTAAATTATACCCAAACAGCTGATGAAATAATCGAAGCATGCCATTTTTTGCGCTTCACAGCACAATTCTGTGCGTTAACAGCACTCTGTAATTGTTTCTCGTTCAGATAAATTGAAGTAGTCGAGAAAGCGGATTTGCTTTTACGAACAGTTTATCTGGTATTTAAGTTTTTCGAACAGGTAGCTATCAGGGACTTTGACAGGGACTCGAGAAACCGGCCCTAAGACAAGTTTCTTTTTTACTAGTTTTGTATTAATCATTTTTTCGACTAGCACAAATTTCTTAGACCCTGTGTAGTCCAAATGCATTCAGACAAATTCCGGTTGCTTTATATCAGTTGTATAACTAGTTGTTTTTCAGACTAGTTCGCATTTTTCCTGCAGGGAATTATAACATCCTGTATCATTTAATTTGCATTTCAACTTCTATCCCGGTATTAAAAGCTTATATTTTAGCTCATCTGCTCACTCTTAACGAGGTAAAAAACTAGTGACGATCGCACCTTCAACGAAAAAAAAGTCCTGATATCAACTTTTGTGACGAAAAATGATTTTAGATGCGACTAAATACCTAAAATTTACAAAATTCAATACTCAGGGAGCGATAGTTGTTCGAGCTGGCAAAAGTGGCTATTTTCATTTCTGAATAACTTTTAAACGATTTTTTACAGTAACATGATATATACCAAAATTTAAGGAATCTCAAGGGCTATTCAGATTATAATTTAAAAAATCGTTAGAGCCGTTTTTGAAAAAAAAAACAAGATTCAAAAAAAAAATTTTAGATGTTGTTTTGTGCATAACTTTTAAAATATTACATTTACACAAATTACATGTATAGCATTTTAAAATACCTTTCTTTAAAAGTATAGTTTGTGCAAAAAAATAGACTTTTTCCCTCCCATATAGTATTTGTTAAAAAGTACTGTGCGATCAAAGTTTTATATCTCCATCGCACTCTGATAGTCGGGGCACCCGACTATGGCGTTTTATTTTATTCAATTATGAGTTTCATACTCACCATCTCCGTAGTTTGGGCTTTGTGGATTGTTAATGTGATCCTGGAGGGATTCGGCGATGCCCAGCGAAGGCGTGGAGATCATGGGGCCAGGGCGAGGACTGAAATCGCTTCGAGAAATAACCTTCAACTCTTCAAATATAGTGTCAATAAACAAAGCTTTGTATTCGCTCTCCACCTGTGTTTCGTTTTCCCCGAAGTCAGATTTGTTATTTACCAGAAAAAGCTCAATTTCGTTATTGGTCACGATTAATGCTAAACTGGGATGGTAGGAAACACGCTGAGCATTTTGTACCGTCTCCACGCGCACAGAGGCTTCAAAATCCCCCGACCGAGGGTAAGCGGCATGGGAAAACGGCATATCCTGCCACACCAACAGGCCATAAAAGTCCGCAAAGTTGTAGAAATTCTCTGACTCGTAAAGACCGCCTCCCCAAACGCGAATCATGTTCATTTTGGCGTCATGTGCAGTCTTAAGCAAATATTCCACTTTAAAGTATTTAATCCAATGAGCAAATATATTCGTGCAAGTACTTAGAACATACTTACCCGCATCCGCATCAGCTGATAACTCTGGCAGTGTGTGGGCAGGCACATAATTCGCTCCCTTCATGAAGATCGGGTGTCCGTTGACCCGGAAAAAAAAGGTCCTGCCAATACCTAATTTCAATGAGATACAAGCAAGTTGAGCAATGACTCCTGGCAGCTTTTACATTTACAATTGACTTATAAGTACACATACAAATTTTGGTTGGCAAAATTGAGCAATGCAGATAGTTTAATAACTATAGTTTAATAAATCGCCCTATTTATACCCGTTACTCGTAGAGTAAAAGGGTATATTAGATTCGTGCAAAAGTATGTAACAGCTAGAAGGAAGCGTTTCCGACCCCATATATAGTATATATATTCTTGATCAGGGTCACTAGCCGAGTCGATCTAGCCATGTCTGTCTGTCCGTCTCTCCGTCTGTCCGTCTGTATGAACGCTGAGATCTCAGAAACTACAAAAGCTATAAGCTTGAGATTTCCCACACATATTCTTTGGCTTCCTACGCAGCGCAAGTTTATTTTAGCCGAGCGCCACGCCCCCTCTAACGCCCACAATCGCCCACTAACGATTTTAAAATGGGTCCTGCGCCCACATCTTTAAAGATTTCCGAGAAGTATAAGTGCAATTTTGTTGTGTTTATTTATACCTATCGAAATGTAGAAGACATTTTTCAAATCGGACCATTCATTAAAAAGTTATACGCAATCAAAAATTATATATCTATCTCCCTCGCACTCCTTTTAGCTGAGTTACGATTATTAGTCGGGACACCAACCCGACACAGCGTTCGCACTCCCTTTAGCTGAGTGACGGGTATTAGATAGTCGGGACAACAACCCGACTATAGCGTTCTCTCTTGTTTTCTCTTCAACTCACAATGCAAAGTGTTGTTGTCTTTTTCTTGACTGTGTGTGACTTGTTACTCGCGTGCGTGTGTTTTTCCTTTAATTGTGTTTGTAACTGCACTGCCATAAGGCAGTTTTGAGCACCCCTGGTTTAGAATCTAAACTTTAGATCCACTTTTACTGGCATATAGTCATTTTTTAAAAGTGTTCCAATTGGAAAAAAATTAATTAGAAAGTAATAACAAAAAATCAAACTGTTATGCCTTATACTTAAAATTTAATATTTAACAGTGCAATGCAAAGTCAGCTGCTGCATACGAAGGCAAGAACGCTGGGTTTGCACATTTTTGACCGTGATCTTTGTAATTAATTTATTTATGCAAAATACAATAAGTAAAAAAAAAAATGCAAGAACATGGTTATCACAGGTTTGGTCTATGTGCTAAATTAATACTAACCTTGCTATTAGTGGTTTCAGTATTTTTGTTAGGAGTTATATTGGAAATAATAAAAATAATTCGATTTCACCTAAAAAACAAGAAAGGAAGCTAGCTTCATTCCTATTAATTAACAAATCGCAAAAATAATCAATTTTTTAATATTTCTCATTAATTTTCCGATCGTTCCTATGGCAGCTATATGATATAGTCATCCGATTTTGATCAAATTAAAATTGAAATTCGGAAATATTTAAAAAGAGTCACATCCTAGAGTAGAAGATAACACTAGTTTACAGCCAAACTCCTCCAAGGCAATTGATGGCAAATTCTTTAGTGTTCGACCCCCAAATCACGAAAATACCACTAATTTTTTTTTCGATGGCACAGTTTTTTTAAAGATTTTTTAAAGTTCAAAATGTTAAATATTGGACTTTTTTCGAATTTCTTCCTATATCTCGGCAAATATCCACCCAATTGGGCCAGTTTTTGTTTCATTATAAAGTGAATAGATCAGAGCTTAACTTTGTCATACAGATCAATATGATTGGATAAGTAATGGCAGCGCAGCAGCTCGACAAAGATGAAAAATGTGTTTTTTGGACCTCTGTAGGTCGGCTGTATGTATCGTAAAAACTCGAAATAAATCCGTTGAAAAATTATAATGGGTACAAACTTAAAGTTTACATCCCACCGGACAAAACAAGCCGAGTATGGCCCAAATTTATAAAAAATTGGATTTATGGTGGATTTTTAGAGTTCGGATTTTTCAACTTTTTTCGGTTGACAAAGTTCAAATTTTAGTTTTATCCTAGGCGGCGACATGTAAACAAAAATGAGTGGTGATGGCAGCCGGGTCAAAAAATAGCTAAACCAGATATTTAAAAGCTAGAAAATTATAAAAATGAATTTAATTTTTAAAAGTTTCTTAAAAAATATAAAATTGCTTGCGTTATGAGTGAGTATTTTTAATAATTAATATCCATTTGAATAAATCATTCTTATGAAATAACCATACTTTCAAAAAAAGCATGCTTTTTTTAATAAGTACTGCAGTATCAAAAAACGAAAATAAGACTACGAATAAAAAAAGAGGATTGTGCTTGTGATTGTGTGTGACAATGAATAAAATTAAGGAACAAAATTGCTTAAATGGTCCAGACACTTTTTGCAATGTGTGTGGTAAATTTATTATGAGCAATACATTTCGACCCTTTGACAGTGAGGTACAAGATCGATATTTTCTCTACTTTCGCATTAAACCAAATCTTGAAGAGGCTTTGACACCGAGGAGAATTTGCGAAAATTGCCGCTTGACATTTCTTAAATGGAGCGAAGGCAAACGGTATGTTATTAAAAAAAGCATGCTTTTTATGAAAGTATGGTTATTTCATAAGAATGATTTATTCAAATGGATATTACTTATTAAAAATACTCACAGTCATAACGCAAGCAATTTTATATTTTTTAAGGAATTTTTAAAAATTAAATTCATTTTTATAATTTTCTAGCTTTTAAATATTTGATTTTGCTATTTTTTGACCCGGCTGCCATCACCACCCATTTTTGTTTACATGTCGCCGCCTAGGATAAAACTAAAATTTTAACTTTGTCAACCGAAAAAAGTTGAAAAATACGAACTTTAAAAATCCACCATAAATCCAATTTTTTATGAATTTGGGCCACACTCGGCTTGTTTTGTCCGGTGGGATGTAAACTTTAAGTTTGTACCCATTATAATTTTTCAACGGATTTATTTCGAGTTTTTACAATACATACAGCCGACCTACAGAGGACCAAAAAACACATTTTTCATCTTTGTCGAGCTGCTGCGCTGCCATTACTTATCCAATCATATTGATCTGTATGGCAAAGTTAAGCTCTGATCTATTGACTTTATAATGAAACAAAAACTGGCCCAATTGGGTGGATATTTGCCGAGATATAGGAAGAAATTCGAAAAAAGTCCGATATTTAACATTTTGAACTTTAAAAAATCTTTAAAAAAAAACTGTGCCATCGAAAAAAAAATTAGTGGTATTTTCGTGATTTGGGGGTCGAACACTAACAGAATTTGCCATCAATTGCTTTGGAACTCTCCAAGAATATTATTTTGTAAACTAGTGTAATACAATAAAAACCAAAGAAGCTAGAATTTATTTCCTATTACTTTTCCATTCATTTTCCGATCGTTCCTATGGCAGCTATATGATATAGTAGTCCGATTTTATAAATATTTAATTCGAAATTCAGAAATATTTAAAAAATAACATCCCCAAAAGTAGAAGGTAATATTTCAAAAAACACCGAAGCTAGAATTTTTTTAACGTTTTCTTTTCCGCTCCATCCTATGCACTATGGGGCATTTGACCACCTTGGTTGGCCAAAACTCATTTTTTAAAAGTCGTTAAAACAAAAAATGTTGTTTGAAAATGTGTTAAGACCATTTAACAATGTTACGTTTATATCCGATAGAGGTCGCCACTGTTAAGTTAGAAGCTGTTAAATCAGCGAAACCCAATTATCGGGCTGCTGTATTTCGACTTTTTGTTTGCAGTTTTAAAGTGCTTTAAATTTGAGTTTTTAAGCAATTTAAGTAAACTTTTTGGATTGGATTTAAAGGATTATGCTATTTACTAAGTAGTAGTGTCGTTAGACGACAAGAATCAGACTTTTTTTCTTATAAATGAGTGTTAAAGGGAGTGGTCTAACAAGTACGTTTTCGTAAGAAAAATAAATTTCAAATGGAGCAACAAAGTGAGGATTTGTAGATTATTTAATTGTTGTTGAAATGTATATGGTCAGAATCGCCACTTATTGCCACTTTTTCTGTAATTTAATTTTTTAGACCATAACCTCAAATTTCACACACTCCTATCGTTTGCACTTGGGCTAAGGAAGTAAGGACTTTTCTGGCCTTAAATTATTATCAAAATAGAGTAGAAATACTTAGCTTTGTAATTCACTAACTTAAGTGGACTTTAGCGACTTTAAAACGAAAGTTGCGTTACACAAATGTAGAGTAAATTCTTTCCTTTGCACTTCTTTTTGAGAATTGTAGGATATAGTCGTTCACTTTGTACGAAACTTTTAATATTGTTTTAAAAACTAACATAATTGCTATTTCTATAGTTATTTGCATTTATTTCCAAAAACAGCAAAGTTAATTTGATCGTTTCTATGGCAGCTATATGATATAGTTGTCCGATCCGGTCGGTTCCGACATATAACTACCTGCAATGGAAAGAAGACTTTTGGGAAAGTTTCATCCCGATAACTAAACAGAAATCATATTACCGTCTGCAAGGGTATAAAAAATGTTTGGAAACTCCAAACTCCAAAGTCAGATGTTTGCAACGCAGTGAAGGAGACGTTTCCGACCATATAAAGTATATATATTCTTGATCAGCATCAATAGCCGAGTCCATCTAGGCATGTCTGTCTGTCCGTCTGTCAGTCTGTCCGACTGTCCGTCTGTCCGTTTCTATACGAACTAGTCCCTCAGTTTTAAAGCTATCTCGATGAAACTTTCCCAAAAGTCTTCTTTCTATTGCAGGTAGTACATATGTCGGAACAAGCCGGATCGGACCACTATATATTGTGGCTCCCATAGGAATAATCAAAAAAATAATAGAAAAACTATTGACTCTTTGTAGAAAGTAGGCGTTTTGATTTTTGACAATGTAAAAACAATATTTTAAGTAGGCATACCTGCAAGGGTATATAAACTTCGGGTGGCCGAAGTTAACTTCCTTTCTTGTTTCGGGTAAAATAGGTCATTTATTATTGTATAGGTAATCTATTTTTTTCTTGGGCATTTTCTATTTTGTATGGGTTGCGGCAGTTCTCACTATTAAATAGTGGATTTTAGATAGTTTTTTTTGTGTGTACCTCCACCGCTATGGCCGGAAACTATTCTTTCTCCACTCTCCCCTACTACTTACTGTCTTTATCCTCCACAAGATCTATAGTGCGGAAGCCAATCTTTAATAGCTTTTGGGACTCCGATCGTGAGCTCAGGGTAGTAGCCATTTCACTGATAAAGCACTTAGCTGAAAAATGAACTGGATAGAGCTTTTGCGTACCATAGCCGTTAGGCCACCACAAAATAACACGATCCTATAAAAGATGGGTATTAGTTAAGACTAAGGTAACCGGCAAATTAAAAAATGGTTTTACTTTGGGTATGTGAACTTTAAACTCTAGCACTGGCGATCCGAAAGATACCTTTCGCTTTTCGACGACATAGGGATCATCCAAAAGCTCACTAGAATAATAAAAAATTGTACATGTGATTCAACCAAAATTCGAGATAAATTTGTTATAATTACTTGGCATGAACAACAAGTTGGGCGTAAAAGTCCGTTGTCGCATGGGTGCTAAGGAAGGCACGGCAGTCCATCGTCCAGTGTGTGTCGTTCCGCTTAATGGCCACATCGATGTCCCGCAATACGGCCACTGCGTAATACTCGACTACCACTGTTTTCCATATACCCGAGGAAAGTGCTGCTGGGTTCCATTCCCCGCCGAAACTCATTTGCATCTTGCGTAAAAGATTCCGGTGGCACTCGACATCGCCCCGAGCACTTGGACAGCTAATAGGCCCAGTGTTGACGCCCAAGTCTTCAAATTCTCGGGCGCGTCTGCTGGCCTCCTGCAGAGGTGAGAGAATCTCAATCTCCAAAATGTTTTGATTGGGACTGGGCAGAAGCAGGTGGCCGATGATGAACGAATAGCGGACAAACATATTGTCCGTCTCCCCAAGTAGCTCACCATTTAGGCGCACCTTGGACACGGTATCGATTCCATGAAGAGTCAGGTTTACCTGACCGTCGTGCTCCATTTCAGCACCTGCGGATCACGGTCTGTAGTTAGGTAATGTGTCTGACGCTAGAGCTGACTCACAGTGGGGTGAAAAAGCCAAAAGTTTGCCTTAAATCAGCGGAGCCCTATAGCGAATATCTTTTGATGGAGTATTGTTTAAGGCAATTAATAGGGAGAGGTCTGTAGGTTAAGACGGTCTGTAAGTTGAGACACTCAATTTTCTCAAAACTTATCCACTAAAAAAATTGTTTTTATTTTTTTGTTGTAGTCCTTTTTAGTGACAAAACTTATGGGGGAAACATTATAAGCCATGCTCTAGCCAGATTAAAGCTGTGAGAGTCGTGTACCATTTTTCATCAAAGTTTTTGTCTACTTTTTTCAAAATTCCATTTAAAATTAATAACGTCCTTAAATTAACTTGGTAAGAGATTTAAAACATTAGTATATTAACTGTTAACAAATTAAAAAAGAATCAACTTAATGTGACAGTCAGAAAAAAAGTTATTAATTTTTTCCCGAAACATCCCATTTTGTGTAAGTTGAGACACTTTGAGCGTGTAAGTTGAGACACCCGTTTTTCATACAAAAAGGCCTTAGGCCAACAGAGGTCGCTTTCTGCCTAGTACATATGGCGAAGTATGTTTGCCATTTAAGTTTATTTAGATTTAGAAGTACAAAGATAATGAATATTATTAACACACGTGTGTCGCTCGCTGATTCTCGCCGCTCAAGTTATCAAGAGTTGCCACATTGTTCTTTTTAGTCCGCTGGCAAGCTTCTGTTGGCGCTGCTGTCATATTAGGTTGCCACAGTACTCCCCCTCCAGTGAATGCGTTTGAAAATTTAACTCTATGACTTCTCTCATATGTCCTGGTCAGTCTAGGGGTAACTTCTTCTGCATCCAACTGGCGGTCGTCCTTTACTAAAAATGCTGGTTTGAGGCGATGAACTGACAATGCAGTCTCATGCCCATTGAGTCTAATAATGAAAACACGATCGTTTTCGCGTCTGCCAATCTCATGAGGACCAGTGTAAGGGGCTTCCAGAGGCTGCTTTACGGCGTCAGTGCGGAGAAATACATGCGTACATTTATCGATCCCTTTCAATATGAACATCTTCTGCTTGGTATGATGTGCTGTTGATGTCGGTCGCACTTGTTGCATGTGCTCTCGAAAGATGCTCAAAAAAGAGGTGGGGTCAACCGGATCGTCCAAGTCGGTAAAAAACTCATTTGGCAGTCGAATAGGTGTTCCGTATACCATTTCTGAGGCTGAAGATTTGATGTCCTCCTTGAAACAGGTACGAAGTCCAAGCAAAACTGTTGGCAGTAACTCCGGCCACGGAATACCTCTGTTGCACATCAAAGATGACTTAAAGGATCTGTGCCACCTCTCTATGAGTCCGTTTGACTGAGGATGGTAGGCCGTCGTGTGTATGTGTTTACTTCCAGCCAGATTAGCAAGATGTTTGAAAACTGCTGACTCAAATTGTGTTCCTTGGTCCGTAGCTATCGTTTTCGGAGAACCAAATCGAGATATCCAGTGAGTCCAGAACGCCTTAGCTATTGTCTCAGCAGTAATATTTGAGAGAGGTACAGCTTCTGGCCATCGCGTAAATCTATCAATCATAGTCAGGCAGTACCGATAGTTTTGTTGTAATGGCATAACTACAATGTCGAGGTGAACGTGGTCTAATCTGCCGTTTGGCACGTCGATCTTTTCTGGTGAGAGGTGGTTGTGTTTGTGGATCTTAGAGCGCTGACAAGGTAGACAAACTCTGCACCATTCGAGGGCATTTTTATTCATCGAGGGCCATACAAACTTTTGGCGCACTTGACGAACTGTTGACCGACCACTGGGATGAGACAAACCGTGAATGAACGAAAACACAGCATTGCGCAAAGATTTGGGTACATAAGGACGAACGCTTCCTGTAGAAACATCGCAGTAGAGTGAGATGTTGTCATCAAATCGAACCCTTTGAAGTTTAAAAGATGAGGTTCCTTTTAAAAGATGTACCAGTTCAGGATCTGACGCTTGCTCCTTTTCAATTTGCGATAATTTGATGACAGTCGGCATTGTTATAGAGCATAATCTTGAAAAAGCGTCTGCGACTGCATTCTCTGATCCTTTCACATGCATAATAGTCGTGCAGAATTGGGAGATTTAAGCCAAATGTCGTAGCTGTCTCGGTGATGCTTTCTCTGGTCGCTGCTGAAATGCGTACACGAGCGGCTTGTGATCCGTTCTGATGACAAAAATGCGTCCGTCAACAAGGTGTTTGAAATATTTAATGGATTCGAAGATAGCGAGCAGCTCTCGGTCGTACGTCGAGTAATTTTTCTCCGTGTTGCTCAGCTTCTTTGAAAAAAATCCTAGAGGCTGCCAATTTCCGTGTGTACGCTGCTCCAAAACTGCCCCGATTGCGTAATCGGAAGCATCACAAACCAGCTGAAGTTCAGATTTTGGTGCGGGAAAAATCAAGAGGGCTGCGTCTGCTATGCTTTGTTTGCAAGCGTTAAAAGCTGCATGGAGCTCTGCAGTCCATTCAATTTTACGTTGATCATTTTTTTTAACATCCCTTAGCAACTCTGTGAGCGGTGCTTGAATGTGTGATGATCGAGCCAAACATCTGCGATAGTAATTTATAACGCCCAAGAAACGACCAAGTTGGCTTATGGTTTCAGGACGTGCATAATTAAGAAGGGCATCTATGCGTTCGGTGGGTGGTATAATTCCAAATTCGTTGATCGTATAGCTGAGAAAGTTTACTTGAGATTGCGCAAACTGGCATTTGGTCAGATTGATGCTTAGACCATGTTTCTGAAGTACTTGCAAGACAGTCCGAAGATGTTCTTCGTGTTCAGCGATGGAATGCGACGTTATAAGTATGTCATCTATGTAGCAATAAACAAAGTCCATGCCGCGAAAGATGTTGTCCATAAAGCGTTGAAATGTTTGAGTCGCGTTTTTTAACCCAAACGGCATGTACTGAAACTCAATGAGTCCAAAAAGAGTGCACACCGCGGTTTTTTGGATATCGTTTTCTGCCATTGGAATTTGGTAGTACGCTTTAACCAAATCGAGGGTTGAAAAAATCTTCTTTCCTTGCAGTTGTTCAGTGAAGTCGTGTATATGGGCGATTGGGTAGCGATCTGGTATGGTGATTGAATTCAGTTTTCGATAATCTCCACATGCCCGCCAGCCACCATCTTTTTTGGTAACCATATGTAACGGGCTAGACCAAGGACTTTTTGACGGGCGACATATGCCTTTGCTCAATCAAGAAGTTTATTTCTCTCTTGGCAGTGACAAGTTTTTCACCGGAGAGGCGTCGTGATCTATCAGCAACAGGAATTCCATTTGTTTCAATGTAGTGACGTACGTCGTGTTGCGTAGCTGCTTTTATCGATGGCTTTGTCACGTCGACAAATTCACTTAGAAGTTTTTATACCCGTTACTCGTAGAGTAAAAGGGTATATTGTATTCGTGCAAAAGTATGTAACAGATAGAAGGAAGCGTTTCCGACCCCATAAAGTATATATATTCTTGATCAGGGTCACTAGCCGAGTCGATCTAGCCATGTCCGTCTGTCCGTCTGTCTGTCTGTCTGTCTGTCTGTCTGTCTGTCCGTATGAACGCTGAGATCTCGGAAACTATAAAATAGGGATGTCAAATATTTTAAAAATATCGTATCGCTGATATATTTTCTTTAAGAAAAATATCAATATGATATATCAACATCGATATATCAGATACTTTTGATATTTTTTTTCAGTTGAATTTCAAAATTTTAGCCGCGTAAATAAGCTAACAACAAAGACTTTTGCCCTAAAATTAATGTAAAAGCACTAGAAAAGTATTAACCAAATACAACCCTAGTCAAAAGTATTTTCACAAATTTGAATGTTAACTGTACTCATATTTTGAACTTATAATATAAACATTTTGGCACCTATGGAAAGAACACTTCAATTCCGTTAATGGGGGAGATACATATAGAAAACAAAAAAAATTCAATTTTTTTTTATTATTTAAATTGATAGTATAACTCATTAAGAATGTGTCATGAAAGTTTCAGGAAGAAATTCGAACTATTTTGGAACTTATACCAGGATGACGGCACCCATCTTCCTTTGCAGTAGATATATTTCATTACTTTAAATGCGTTTTTCTCGAAACCACGTTTTCGCCAGCTGCGGATCGTGTATCTTAAAAAATAATGGTTCGATCATTATGCTGCTTTTACAGAAATGTTTGTAATGAAATTGCCTACTGTCTGAACCTACTTACTGTAGACATTTGCAAGTGTAAATTTTTTTTTTAAGCAAAAACAACAAAATAAATATGCAAAAAATTAATTTTGACTTTGAAAGGGTGCCAATTCCAGAGTACTTGAGATATTCTATGTAAGTTAGGTTCAGACAGTTTATACATTAATTCTTAACAAAATAAACTTAGTTTCATAAAAATCGGATCTACACAGCGACCTGTGGACGATCCGCAGCTGGCCTACTTTTTTTTTAATATAGCCTGGCAAAAAATTCCCATGGCCGCCATTTTAAAAGATAAAAAAAAAAATTTTAAAAATTATAAAATAAAACAGTGTAATCAACAGTGTAATAATTAATTTTGATTGGGGAACAACTTTGCATCAACACTTTTTTGTTTTAAGCCCCAGGAAAAAAGTTAAAAATTCGACTTTCACAAAATTTGCTCACTTTTCAAAGGGGTCTTAATGGGCTTAGAACATTTTTGAATCATTTTAACGGAATTGAAGTGCTCTTTCTATAGGTTCCAAAAGTTTATATTATAAGTTAAAAATATGAGTACAGTCAACATTTAAATTTGTGAAAATACTTTTGACCACCCCTGTAATTCGTTTTATTAATTTTCTTATTTTATTAGTTCTACACAAAAAAGTTTTTGTTTTTCAAGTGGGATAACATTTTTGATGTATTCCCACTTGTTTTAATAGTTTTCAAATAAAGTTTGCACTTAGTTTGTTTTTATTAATTTTTTTTTTTT